GTTCTAAAAGATCCTGAGGGTGAGGAGTGGGATGAAGGAGATTCTTAGCTCAGACTGCTTATACAGTAAAGAACTAAATATAAGTTTCCAGTCTTTTCATATGTGTATAAGACTGGAGAATAAGCCCTCCCTGAAAGCATTTCTGGATTGTTTGTTGGTTGATTTGCAAATAGAGCTTGTTCCTGGGAGCCTTGTGCAAGGAGGGAGTCTAATTCACAATGGAAACAATGCTTCCTGTCACCTCCTCATCCTCCCAACAAAAACATCTGATCACTGCTACAAGCAGGATTTTCACTTCAAATTATTTTTCAATGGCTAACCATTGTCATGATTATATAGGGATATTTCTACCCAAATCTCCTGTTGTCTATGACAGGCCAGTGTCAAAGCATTTTTTTGATGAAGACGGGGAGCATCTGTAAACAGTGCATGTGATGAAGACTTAAAGAATGTTTAGCTTAGAGAAGAATAAGGTGAACTATGGAACCATAGACTATTCCAGTTGGAAGGGAACTCCCATGACATCTAGACCAATTCCTCTCATTTTACAGGAAAAAGAAAGTGTGTCCAAGGTCAGTTTTTTAGTAGGGGAGGGTCTGGACCAGTGATATCATTGCTGTAGGGAGTTCTCAGTGAGGAAACTCCCTCTACCAATGCAACAATTCTGTAACTTATAGTCTTTGACTATTTTGCAACATACAGGCAGATAGTTATGGGCAGAACTAGGACCAGAAGCCAAGTCTACAGGAGTACTGTATTTTTTTTCTTTCCACTATAACATTCTGAATATTGCCCTATTCTGTGGTGGTTGTTGTTGTTTTTAATCTCCAGGAAAGGAGAGTCTATACCATCCCATTATAACTGCTGCAATTTAAGGTTTTTTTTAAAAATTTAAATCTGTTTTGTTTCTTTTCTACCCTATTTTGGCAATTTTCTCATTACAAGTGTCACTTTCCTTGTCAAATAACTGCATCTAAATTTTTCCATAAAGACAAAGGTTGTAAAAAGCATTTATCACTTAAAAATTCACTTGTCATCTGTTTCTTTATTAACTTTGAAGTTCCCTTTTGGCTTTCTGTAATTGGAGATTTTTTTCTGTTGACTTTGTTTACCTTTGCATCTCTAAAAAGCTCTATCTCCTTTCCTGATCCAGTTCCTATACAGTGACTCTAGAACTATTCTTGATTCTATGGTATTGGTTTGTACAACTGAGTGATATGATCTGTCTTGAATTTCAAATTTTGAACTACTTCTTTTTATTTACTTATTAGTATTCTGTGATTTTGGGTCAAGCCAACTTGGCATCTACATATCCCTTTATTTTTCCTATCAATAAATTAAAAAGCATTAAGTATGTGTCCAGTATTATTTTTGTTGTTTGTCCTTTGTTCTCAAAGAGGACCAATGGCATCAGGAAGGTGATGTCATGACTTGCAAGTGAATTGGATTTAAGTGAGGCAGAGCTGTGCAAAGTCACCAGCCTCACTCTTTCCTCCAAAGCCATCTGGGTCCAGTGTTAAGATACAGACCAGAATGAGGAGAGATGGCCCCGATGCAGTGGGAGACCTTGACCTTTTTTTATCTAGTACTATAAATACAGAACCAAAAGTGAAAGAGTCCCTGCCCTCAAGAAGCTTAATTGCATTTTTAAGCAAAAGGATGTCTCTGACTTACTATAATATATTGAAGTTCCTTTTCTTGGAAATGTGAGAATTTTAAAGAATTGAATTCATTCTTTGAAAGGAATGCATGCTAAAGTGGAAAGTATTACATATATGTAGTATGGAAGGTTTAAATAATATTTATAATCATAGAAAGTTGCAGGGGAAGGGACCTTTGAGATCATCTAGTCCACATTTCTTTTGATCAATTTACAGATAAGGAGACTGAGGCATAGAGAGGTAAAGTACCTTGCCCAAGGTCATCTCATAGCTAGTAAGTGGTTCAGCTTGAATTTGATGGTAGATCTCTAGTAAAGTGCTCTTTTATTTATAGTATACCATCTCCCAATTTTGTAGTTTGATTATGACAAAATTTTTAAAGTAATAGTTTTGTTTGTTTTTTGCTTTGGCAATTGGGGTTAAGTGACTTGTCCAGGGTCACACAGCTAGTAAGTGTTAAATGTCTGAGGCTAGATTTAAACTAAGGTACTCCTGACTCCAAGGCCAGAGCTCTATTCACTGCACCACCTAGCTGCCCCTAAAGTAATAGTTTTGAAAATAAAACATGGTACATAGGGAAGCGGAGAAGTGTGGTGGAGTGAAGCTCTGGACCTCATGCTGGATTTGTAGTATGAGGATCTGACCAAGTCACTTGGGCTTTCCGGGCCTTGGTTTCCTTCCATGGTCAGTCACTTGACAGATATTTATTAAATATTTACTATATGTCAGATACTGTGCTAAGTGCTGGGGATACAAAGGAAGCAGGGAAAATCAGCTCTTGCCCTTGAGAAGAGCCCTTTTTAATGAGGCAGACCACACGTAAATAATTAGATATATACAAGATATATGCAGAATAAATGGAAAGTAATTTTAGAGGGGAAGACACTGGTAGCTGGAGAGACTGTTGAAAATCTCCTGCAGGAGGAAGCATAGGATCTGAATTTTGAAGAAATCCAGGGGAACTAAACTAAATCCAGGTGAGGGAGAACATTTTAGGCTTATAGGGCAGCCAGTGCAAAGATGCAGAGATGGGGGAATGTTGTGTTCAAGTAACAGTAGAGCAGTGTAGATAGATTATAGAGTGGAGGGGAATGAAGTATAACAAGATGAGGAAAGTAGGAAGGTTCTTTTCAGTTTAAAATCTGTGATTCTAAGCATTTGCCCAACTCTGTGAGCTTAGTAACTACGCAACCTCCCGAAATTCAGTTTCCTTATGTATAATTAAAGATTTTTACTCCATGTACTTCACAGAACTATTATGATGATCAAATTAGATCATATAAAGCATTTTGTAAAACTAAATTCCTACGTAAGTAAATATGGGCTAGAATTATGTGGTTATGCTTTCTTTAAGTAAGGTACTATATAAATCAAGGAAATATCATTTCATATATGTATCTATAATAATAGCCAGCACTTATAAATCACCTTAAGGTTTGCAAAGAAAACCTTATATATGTCATGTCATCCCAACTGATAGTTAAAGGATATGAACAGGTAGTTTTTAGATATAGAAATTAAAAATATCAACGGGCATATGAAAAAAATGCTCCAAATAACTAGTAATTAGAGGAATGAAAATTAAAGCAACTCAGAGGTTTCATCTCATACCCATCAGATTGGCAAAGATGACACAAGAGGAAAATTAAAAATATTGGAAGGGTTGTAGGGAAAACAGTCACGCTAGTGCACTGTTGGTAGAGCTATGAACTGTTCCAACCATTATGGAAAGCAGTTGGAAATTATACGCAAAGGGTTATTAAACTTCTCTTATCCATTGATCCAGCAATGCCACTACTAGGTCTGTACTCCCAAAGAAATCAGAGAAAGAGGAAAAAGATTCATATATTTAAAAATAGTTACAGCAGTTCTCTTTGTGTTAGCAAATAACTGGAAACTAAAGGGCTGCCAATAAACTAGGGAGTGGCTGAACAAATTACCATATATGAATGTGATGGAATAGTATTATGCCATAAGAAATAATGAAAGGGATGGCTTCAGAGAAACCCAGAAAAACTTCTTTGAATTGGTACAGAATAAAGAGAACAGAACCAGAAGAGTAATTTATACAATGACAGTACTGTAGACAGCCAACTTTAAAAGACTTAGGAACTCTGATCATCACAGTGACTACCATAGGACTCAGGATGTAACATGCTACCCATCTCCTGACAGAGAAGTGATAGATTCTGTACAGATTGAGACATTTTCTCTACATGGCCAATGTGGGAATTTCTTTTTCCCTTTCTTTCTTGTGCCTTTCTTCATTTTCTTTTTTTAACATAAGTTTTGCTTTTTTTCTTTTTTAAAAGGGGAGGGAAAGGTGGGTGGGAGAGGTGAATATCTGCCCATTTAAAAATTTTAATTTTAAAATATATCATTTGATCCTCACCACGACCCTGTGACAATAGATACTACTGTTATCCCCATTTGCTTGAGAAGGAAACTGAAGTAGACAGAGGTGAAGTGACTTGCTCAGAGTCACACAGTTAGCAAGTCTCTGAGGCAGAATTTGAACTCAGGTCTTCCTGACTCCAGATCTAGCACTTCATCCATGACACCACTTAGCTACCTACATATAATTTCTATTTACTTGAGCACTGTTTATGTAGCTCTTTTTATATTTATTGATTATTCACTGTTATCTTTTCATGTGTTTTAACTCCCCGACTAGGTTGGTTGTAGGAGGATGGGTTTTAGAGGTGGAAGGAGCCATCTAATCCAAACCTCTCATTTTTTGAGGAGGAAACTGAGGTTCAGAGGACAAGGGACTTGGCTTTAGATGGGAAGGAGCAAGTAGCAAAGACAGAATCCTAACTCCAAAATCAAGGTATGCTCTTCCCATTACACCCAACTCCCTGATCTTGTGTCTTTGTATTCTCCTTGCCCCTGGGCTTATTAGAGTATGCCCTGTCAAATCAACAAGCACGTATTAATCTCCTACTATGTGCCAGGCAGTATGCTAAGCAGAGTATACAGAAAAAGGCAACAGATTATCCTTACTCTCAAAGAATTAGCAATCCATAAGAAGTGAATGAGTATTTGTCGATTGATTTTTTTAATATATTCTTTTCGAAGGTTAAAAAAACTGCTTTTCCTTTTCTTCGCTTAAAATAGATCTGGACACTGTGTCCCAACTGAGAGGTTTAAGGGAGGTCAGAGTCCGCCTACAGCATTTTAACCTCGGGCAAAAAAAAAAAAACAACAAAAAAACACCGATGGGACTGAACCTGATTTACCCGGGTGAAATGTCTGGCCCTCTACTTGCTCTGCTCCCACTCAGCTGAAGCTGAGTGCCAGCCCCTGAGCTGATGCTCAGCCCCCTTCCCCGCCCCATTTCCTCTGCTCCGCCACCCCTCCGCCCCACACAATCCCCTTCCCCGGAATTTCAAACTCTTAGGTGGCTGCAGAGTGGGAGTTACAGCCTCAGAACGGAGCATGCTCAGTGACAGCCAGGGAAGGTTTCGCATGCCAGCGGCAAATTTTGGTGCCTAAACCTGTGGCTCCAGTCTGGCTGCTTGCCGCAGGCGCTCAGTGTTCACTACCCCAGTGGAGCAGAGCCGGAGTGAGTGGCTTAAGGAGGGAGTGAACTTAGGGGGCCTAATAGTTATTGGAGATGGCTGGCCGGGATCTTCTCTGATACCCCAGTTTTTTCGCCCAGTGCATAGCTGAGGGGCCTGTCCAGCTGTGAGCCCCCCGGTCGGTCCCTGCAGTCCTTCGTGGCAAGCGGATCTCACTTTTTGGTTGGCCTGGAGCGAAGCTGCGCAGCTATGGAACTGGGCTGGAGGCACCAGGGACTGCTTGTTCTCATCCAAGTGGTCCTCGCGCCAGTCTTCGGAGGAGGTGAGTGCAGGGAGCCCCGAGTGGCGGTCAGGCTTCGGCTGCAGGTCCAGGTGTGGGGGCTGGGAAGGAGCACGCTTTGCCAGCTTCTGTGTGTGCTCGTGTGTGTGTGTGTGTGTGTGTGTGTGTGTGTTTGTGTGTGTGTGCGCGCGCGCAAGAACGCAGGCGTGCTTTTGTTTGCAAACGACTCTTCGCTCCTCCTGGAGTTTTGCTTCCCTCCTTCCTTTCCTCTTACTTTGGTATTTGTGAGCCAACAAGGTGCCTGGAACACAGTAGGCGCTTCATAAAATGCTTATTGGTTGATTGATTGCTCCCCTTACACACTCACACACACACACACACACACATCTCCATGTCTAGTCTCCCGCTGCTGCCCCCACTCCCCCTGTGGGAGCTTGGGGCTCCAAGAGCCAGATGCAAAGGAGCGCTTACTGTTCCGTTGCTTCTTTACTTTGAAAATTGTGTTACCTGATTGCATCTTCCTGGGGGCGCCCAGAATTTCCTACGGATGATCTTTATCCTTGGGATCATAGATATAAAGTAAGGAGGGATGTTCAAAGTTGTAGTCTCTTTCATTCTACAGATAAGGAAACTGAAGTTCAGAACTGTTAAGCCATTTGCTCAAGGTCACACTAGTACACAGAAAGCTAGCTGTATTATTAGCCAAATTCTTGTGAGGTAAGGAAAAAGCGAGAAATATTCCTTTTCTTTCCTTCTATCAATCTCCATCCCCTCACTTTTATTACTGAGGGTGAAGAACTCCGAAAGACAAATCTGCAGAATCCACCTTAAAAAGGCAGAGTCTTTTCAGTGACCATTAGACTGTACAGGCAGACACACAAACTACCTGTCTTTAAGCCCCAGGCTGTCGGAGGGAGTTCGGAGATCAGTAACAACTTACAGGTTGAGTAATGCTTCAGATAGGAATAATAGAATGTAGTTAACTGATAGGTTAGCTGTTATAGTAACAACTGCATAGGAGTGTATACATACATACATACATACATACACACATACACACATACACACATACATATACATACATATATAGATAGATATAGGTATAGATATATATAGATATAACAGCTCTTCCTATCTGGACTTTAGAGATCATCTTAGTCCAGTCCCCTCAGTTTTCATATGAAAAAAACGGAGACCCAAAGAACTTTCATGATTTTAGCAAGCCTATAGAGGTAAGTAGCAGAGCTGAAACATACATAATATTTACAAAATAACAGACTCCGAGTAGAAGTCCAACCTATACCTAAACGAATTCCTTCTACATTATGTCTAAGTGGTCATCCAGCCTTTGCTTTTAAAGATCTTTTCAACATGTTAGATTTGATGTTAAACAAGATCTTGGTTCAGATCATTCCTCTGACAGTTGCTAGTTCAGTCAGTCAGACATTTATTAAACACTTACTATGTGCCAGGCACAGTGCTAAACAACTCAACCTCCCTCAGACTCACCTTTCCACCTGTAAAACTGGATTAATAATACCTGAAGCATCTACTTCAAATGAGATAATATATGTAAAGTGTTTTTGCAAACTTTAAAATGCTATATAAATAGTTATTTTGAAGGCTCCAGTGAAGAAGAACCCATTCTCCCCAGAGGCGACTCCTTCCACTTTGGTATAACTGTAATTATTAGAGAGTTTTTCCTTACCTGAAGCCAGGTCCTCAGATTTCAAATTCAGTGTACTTTCCACTATGCCTTAGCTATCTTTTTTATGAAGAATGCTTAATACTGTTTAGACTCACCTACAGTAGAATGAGGTCAGGACCTTGGAGTCAGAACATATGGGTCCCATATTTAACCTTGAATTACCTTGAATTTAACCTTAAATCACCTTTTGGGCCTCAATTTCCTCATTTTTAAATGATTATTCTGTATTGAAATTCATGATGCACTTTTCCCTGTATTGAACACTGAAACGCAATGGAATCCATCATGTTTTGAGCTTTATTGTTGCAAGGGCAGAATTCAACAGCTTTTCTAAATATGATAGCCTCTCCATCTCTAGGACTTTAAAAAGAGTTACTTGGAGCCTGTAAGATCGTCAGCAAAAAACCCCTTTAGCTTTTTTGCTAGCTAAACATATACCAGACATTTTTCCTTAGCTAAGTGGTTTCTCTTCCTGTGCCACATGTGGTTTCCATCTCTTTTCATGATGAATGTGGTTAGCTGATAGATTCGGGGTATAGCTACAAATGGTAGTTTAGCTTTTATGCTCCCAGATGATGTTGAAGCAGTTTTTAGGAATCCATGGAAGCCTTAATTTGTGATATAAATCCTATATTCTGAAAGAATTCTGAAGTGTCCCTTTTTGCATACAGATTACCTGAGACTAGATGCTTTAGTCTGAGGAATGTGGCAGTTTAAGAATTTAGGAAACTTAGTTGTCCATGGCAATTAAAGGCAGTTTAAGCAATAAAGGCAATAAAAAAGACTTTTAAAATAATCCAAACAAAAAAGCAAGCTTGAAGAAATCTCCTGAACCTTAGCCTGAACTTTCAGATAAAATCTGCTTTAAACATCAGCAGCATTGGGCTGTTACTGAGATTGGTCCCAGACAACCTTGGAGTAAAATGCGAGAACTGAAAATAAATTAGTCCTAACTATGTGAACATTGTTTTAAGAAGGGAAATAAGATGATTATAAAAGGGGGACGGGACTCTGCCTTTTGTTTTTAATCGGCAGTAAAATCTCCTGCACATGATAACAGGCTTTGGTTTGATAACCATAAAAGGCTTTGCCTCGATCTAAAGGATGAAGGGAAATTATTATAAATTGAATTTTTAAAATTGTTTTTTCTTGTGACTTGTCAGTTTGTTAAAGCAAGATATTCTCAATCTGAGATCCATGAACTTGTTTTTTTTAAATATTTTAACTGTATTTCAGTATAATTGACTTCCTTTGTTATCCTATGTATTTTGTTTTATGCATTTAAATCCAAGAAGGGTCCATAGCTTCACCAGACTGCCCACAGAGGTCCATGGCACAAAAAAAGATTAAGAACTCCTGTGTTAAAGCAACAGCAGTTTTGATCTTTTGAAAATCCAAAGTATTGTTTCCTTTCTAAAGAAGAGAAGGGCATTCTCACTACCAAAACCTAAGAGAAAAAAAAATTAGGAAATATATTTAAAGGTAGAAATTGGGTCATACTAAAATTGGACTTTCCCTAGTTCGAAGATGTACATATTGCTAATAATTCATTTGATTTGCCAGTGAGGTGAAAAGAGAGGAGGGGGAAAGGTGGGGCCCGCAGGAGAAAACTGAATGAATGACATCCATAGAGCATTCAAAAATATTATTTTAGCCGTTCGATTCACCTCCCACCACCAGACTTTTAATGGGATCTGCTAAACAAGAAAGAGATTCATTGATTTGGTTTGCTTTCCATTCCCTTCCCTTCCAAGTGACTTGGAGAGGGACTGCTTGCTAATAGGCAGAGATACAGGCTAGAAACAAAGCTTAATCACAAACTAGATCCTGAAAAGTGGGAGTCTTATCTGTTTGTACCATTAAGCTCTAACTTTAAAACCAATCTAGAGTATCTTGAATGAATTTCTCTCCAAAACTAGATTGTATGCAAAGACTGGGTACATAGAATACTTTGATCCCCATCTAAAGCACTACAGAGAATATATTTATTGATTTGAGATTTGGGAACATGTCCCTACACTTGAGAAAACAGGAGCAATCTGAAATGTTGCAAAACTAAGGGTGATGACACTAGTTTGACTCTAAGGTTCCTACTAGTTGGTGCCATACTGGTAGAATAGCTGAGAGAAAAGGTGAGTCCATAGGTAAAATGAGTTTCCCCTTCTCTAGCTTTTATTTTCATTGTCTACATTGTAGTTCTGGTTTTAGAAGTCAGAGAAGTAAGAGAATTAATCTTTCCCAAATGCAGAATGTGTCAGGATACATTTTGAATAGTCTGTTAGTATGGAAAGAGTGCTACCTTGGTAGTCAGAGACTCTAGATTCAATTCCTGCTCCTATCTTGTGTGACCTTGGATAAATCCCTTAATCTCTCTCGGTCTTAGTGTCAGTTTCCTCAGGCAATAAAAACTTTCTAAAGCTTCCAGCTTTGAACGTAAGAACTCAGAAAGTAGCTGTTCATTGTGAAAACTAAAGGGTTGTAGTTAATCATGAAGAACTTTTCTTTAAATTGCAGAGAAACTATTAACTACTAATGTTTCTCTGGAAAAACTTTTTCTTAGACAAAATGTGTTAAAGCCATTTCTTCATCCACCAAAATGTAGTTGGTATCAAAACATGAAATAAGGAGGCATTCTTCATATGATAAACAACAAAGCCGTAATTAAGTAAGGACCAGAACTTAAATAGCAAAGTGTCTTCTTACTTAGCTCACTTTTTTTTTTCATTTTGTTTGAGAACAGGTTTTATAACATCTGGCAGAAAATGCAAAAGATTTGTACCTAAGCCTGCAAACAGTTGGGTCACTTTTTTTTTGAAGACTAATTCTGGGTCCAAGACTCTAGCTTTGTGCCCTTAGATGAATAACTTAACCTCTGTGGGCCTTAGTTTCTTTATCTGTAAAATGAAGGGGTAAGCTCTTTGCCAGCAGAGACTACTTGGCAGTTGTGTTTTTGTGACCCCTGGGTCTAAAGCAGTTCCTGAAACATAATAGGCGCTTAATAAATGTTTGTATATTAAATATCTAGATGATCATTCAAATGGAAGCCTTCTAACTCTAAGATTGTAGAACCTATAATCGTTTCCTTTATTCTGAAAAATATTTTGCCAGTTAACTTATAATGTCACAGAGTCAACAAAGAAATGATTTAGAAATTGTAGCTTTGAATTTGATGATTTCAGGAAAAATAGGTCATTCCAAAATTCAAATAACAGAGGAATGTCAAGTTAACATCAAGTGGGTGAGAGTTTCAAAATATTCATTTGTGATGAAGTTCCCTAAAGCAGTAACATTGTCCAAATTGCCACCAGTTTTATTTTGTTGTGTTTTTTTAACA